TCTGAATCTAAACCTTGGCATTCTAGGGTCAGAAAGCATGGATTCACCCTATCATTTACAAGGTTGAAGCGTTCTTTAGCACGGGCTCTGCATGCAGACAGTCCTCGGCTTACAACAGTGACTTATGGTCCATTTTTCACAGTGACAACTATTGCAGCATCCGCATGGTCCTGTGATCAAAATTCAGATGCTCGGCAACCGGTTCGTATTTCTGACGGTTGCAGTGTCCCAGGGATCACGTGATCCCCTTTTGCGATCCTCTGACGAGCAAAGTCACTTTGGTAGGCCTGATTCACCTGAAAAACTGAGCCCTGGTGGCATGGTGGTTAGAATGCACCATGGCAGGCAAACTCTGTCCACAGCCTGGAGTTCACAGCCAGGTGGGGCTCAGCCTTCCATCCTTCCAAGGTGAGTAAAATGAGGATCCAGATTGTGGGGGGGGGGCAAGATGATGACCCCTTAAACCGCTTAGATACAGCTGTAAAGTATTTTGGAGCAGTATGCAAGTAATAATAATAATAATAAACTTGGAAGGGACCTTGGAGGTCATCTAGTCCAACCCTCTGCTCAGGCAGGAAACCCTACACCATTTCGGACAAATGGCTGTCCAGTCTCTTCTTAAAAACTTCCAGTGTTGGAGCATTCACCGCTTCTGGAGGCAGGTTGTTCCACTGGTTAATTATTCTAACTGTCAGGAAATTTCTCCTTAGTTCTAGGTTGCTTCTCTCTTTGGTCAGTTTCCATCCGTTGCTTCTTGTCCTGCCTTCAGGTGCTTTGGAGAATAGCTTGACTCCCTCTTCTTTGGGGCAGCCCCTGAGATACTGGAAGACTGCTATCATGTCCCCCCTCGTCCTTCTCTTTGTTAAACTAGACATACCCAATCCCAGCAACCATTCCTTATATGCTTTAGCCTCCAGTCCCCTAATTATCTTTGTTGCTCTTCTCTGTACTCTTTCTAGAGTCTCAGTATCTTTTTTACATCGTGGTGACCAAAACTGGATGCAGTATTCCAAGTGTGGCCTTACTAAGGCATTGTAAAGTGGTATTAACACTTCACATGATCTTGAGTGCTATTGCTACTAACTGAGCAACTACAGCGATTTACTTTAACAGTAGCAAGAAGGTCGTAAAATGGGAGAAAATTCATGTAACCAATGTCTCACTTACTGGAAGTAACAGAAAGTTTGTGGTCATAAATCAAGGACTATCTGTACAGAGTGGAACGTTACATGGCAACCTCCATTGTTCTCCCCCCCCACCCCAAGGTCTTCTCTCCAAAGGGGCCTTGCGTAGTTTCTAATCCCATTAATGGGAAATAGACTTCCCAACAACAAGGCTGGTCAGAAAGTGAAGTTGCCACCAAATGACCCCATTGCCTCCAGCAACTGCGTGGCATGCTGAGATATTAAATGCGGCGAATGCAATAGATTCATATATTACGTTGCTGTTTTTCATCTGTTCTTTCAACTGGGTAGCTTTCCTTCATCTGTCATATTAGTGGAATTAGGTTCTCAGACATTCCTTGCTCTACCCTGCGTCCAATTCCTTGCATTCCATCCCTTTTTTAAAAAAAAAAAGGCACATTTTTTTTGTCACTCAGATTTGACAGCAAAATATAAAATATCTCCAAATTGGTCGCAAATGTGCTCCCCACAAAATAATACAGCTGAGTGTGATTTAATTCCAGCTTGCTCTTTCTCCCTATTAGCCTATTTACCCAACTGTTGGGAGAGCTGCAAATGAGATTTCTATCAAAAGAGCCATTAAGTCAAAATGTACCCAGCGGTGGATTAAACTTATGCCAAATATATACCAGTTTCAGATTTTTTGAATCAAAACAAGTTATTTTGATGAAGCAATGGCCTCCCGCTGCAAGTGTTTATTGTTTTTCCATTAGGGTGTTTGCCATGACACTTCCAGAGTATAACTCTCCTTGTTTTCCTAAGAGGTGGCCATGTGAGTCTCTTAATGCAAAACCAACCAAGGTTTTTGTGTCACTTTCAAGCAATGTTTGTCAACCTCAGCTTGAGGTTGAGATATCTGGACTTCAACTCCCAGAATTCCCCAGTCAGTATGAAGTCCAGACATCTTAATGTTGCAGAACTTGAGAAACACTGCTTTAAAAACTATTTATACTATCAAATGGGCTTTTGTGGATCCTCTTCATCTGCGAAATGTCAATTAGACAAATTGATGCTATCATAAAATAATTTTGTAATTAAGGTTCCACAAGTCTTCTGGATTTTGGGGGGACAGAAGGGCTTTTTTTCCTGTCCCCAAAGTGATATGAATTAGTGATAGGGGTGATTCTGTCCAAGGGACATTGTACAATTGGTTTGAATGAAAGTTAACCCCAGTCTTTAGTAACTGGGCACAGGGCATCTGGTTTAACTAAATCTCTTAGCTCTTGAATTTCTTTCAGCTGAAGCCCAACTTTCACCTCTCTGGGAAATCATAGTAACCTGAAATTTATACGGAACCTTTTAATTCAATTTCAATATAATTTTAAATTGTTTTATATTCACCTTTTTACCATTTGTGAGCTTCTCAGATTCACGGTATCGGTGAGTTTGACAATATATAAATTGAATAAACAACAACAACAATAACAGCCAAGTGCAAAAGGCAGTTTTACTTGGTGCAGCTTACATTCAGTGACAATACCTTTAGCACCATCAAACAATGCCATCTGCCCCACCTGGGTCCTTGGGTGGATGAAAATGTAGCTACAAGAATAAAGTTAAAACTTTGCCTGTTGTTCTTTTATGCGCAATGGCCTCACAGCCACCATCTTGACTTTTATTTCCATAATCTGCAAACTTCCTTGAACCCAAGAAATCCTGGCTGTAGCTCAGGGTTGAACTGTGAGATCCTTGATGTTCCCTGAGCTTGGTTGTTTATTTAGAGATATTCCGTTACTCTAGTCAAGGAACTACCAACTCAGATAAACAAGCTAACACTAAACCACCATAATCAAGGAACTACCAATCACCAATGACAGCAATAGGAATAGCACTTATATACCACTCTATAGCTCTTTCCAGCACTCTCTGAGTGATTTACAATGTCAGCATTAATGCCCCCAGCAATCGGGGTCCTTATTGAACTGACCTTGGAAGGATGGAAGGATGGATCGAACCCCAGACTGTGAGCAGAGTTAGCCTGCAATAGTGCATTCTAACCACTGCGCCACCAGGGCTCATGAAGTTGCTACCTAGTATGGTAATGAAATGTCTGCAAGAAAACAACCATGGACCCCACAATCCTGCCTTTGTTTATCTCGCATCAACACTCCAACAGCCACAAAATTGCCCTGTCACTTTTCCTTTTTTAAATAGTGGAACTGTAATGATGCCCCCAGGTTTTTTTAAAAACAAATGTATGGAAAGCCGTTTCAAAGAGAAATGGAACATATTTCATGTTTAATTATAAAAACCACAGAGAAGGTGAGGCTGAGAAAAAAAAAAGGGGATGTTTTAGTTTCATAGAGGGGTGCCAGGGCTGCTTCCATCACACTGCAGAAGCTGAATATTTAAAGAATGGAAAAGCAAGGCTGGGCAGGCCAAAATAACCAAATGTTTCCCATACAATATAATTCGGTCTGATTTAACCTCATGACTGTCAAAATAAATCAGAGCGACATCTTGGCTCTCTGTGCACAGACATCCCAAAATTCACTCTGCCATGCCCAAAAGCAAAGGCTCCGGATTTCCACGACAACAAATCATGATTGTCAACATGGTTTTTATATAGCAGCTGTTAGGGCAGTGTTCCTCAACCTTGGCAACTTGTAGACATGCGGATTTCAACTCCCAGAATTCCCCCAGACAGCAAGCAGAGCTGTTCACCCTGTAAGGTAGTCCAGATAGGAAATCCAACTAGGAGTGCCAGCTCCATCTTTACTATGTACTATACATGTACTATAAAGTTTCATTAACAGATCTTGCAAGTCTGAAAGTCTTTCTCCACTCCTTTCCTTTTACTCTCCATAAAACCCGGGAGGGCCCCTTCTGAAATACCTCCTCTTTTCTGTGGGCTGAGATGTATTTTTTTAAAATGTTTTATTAATTTTCTAATATTACATTTGCATATTTGAAAAGCAACGTGGCAGCTGAGTACAATAATTCCATTCCATTTAAATATCCTCAATACAAATCTCAAAGTATTACGACAACTAATTCCCTCTCTTTCCCCCTTAATATATACTGTCTCATATTCAAACCAACACAATTCTTATTCTATCTATCAAACAGAAAATAACTTTCTAGCATTCGGCAATAATCTTCAGTTTACACATATCTTAATAGGGCTGAGATGTATTTTGTAGACCATTCTCCAGTCTGTCTCTCTCCCTTCCTGTCTCCCAAGGTCATTCCCACGGACCATTACAGGAGCCAGTTTGTGGACTTTGGGCCAGGCTCAGAAGCTATCTGGTTAGTGAACAGTCTACATCCAGTTTTGGTCACCACATTACAAAAAAGAGGTTGAGACTTTGGGAAAAGTGCAAAGAAGAGCAACTAGGATAATTAAATGCCTGGAGATGAAAACATATGAAGAACGATTGCAGGAGTTGGGTTTGGCTACAGAAAAGAAGGACTAGGGGGAACATGATAGCAGTATTCCGGTACTTGAGAGGTTGGCACAAAGAGGAAGTGGTCAACCTATTCTCCAAAGCATCAGAAGGCAAGACAAGAAACAATGGATGGAAACTAATCAAGGAGAGAAGCAACTTGGAACTAAGGAGGAATTTCCTGACAGTGAGGACAATTAACCAGTGGAACAGCTTGCCTTCAGAAGTTGTGGGTGCTTCATCACTGGAGGTTTTGAAGAAGGGACTGGACAGTCACTTGTCTGAAATGGTATAGGGTCTCCTGCTTGAGCAGAGGGTTCAACTAGAAGACCTCCAAGGTCCCTTTTGATTAATAAAAGTTCACCAATGCAAGTGGGCCTGAGGCAAAAACCAAAACACTTCATAGGGGGAATATGCTGAAAAAGCAAACCTGTTTGCTTTGAGGTTCTTCCAAGCAGAAACAGCGCGTGTAAACCTTGCCTTCCGTTTGGGGGTTGATCTCAATCAATTCATTGTTCTCCATAACTTCCACATCCCGACGTGTTTTGGAGGCTTCCGGAAAACACTGTTGAAATGGAATCAAGGATCAAAATAATACAGAGATGGAAAGCATTTACAAGTTGGTATGTTCCTAGTGGGTTTGGAAATGAGAGGCTACATTTTTGGGATTCAGGATTTTTAATTCACAACACTTTTAAGAAGGCAGAGCTGTCTGGTTTATTAATAACTCCCAGCCACCAAAGAGAAAACAAACCCTGTTATGGTGCATCCATATGATATATGAACCCAGCTACTGTCATGGGTTAGAAACCGTTGACAACATTTAAGGATAAAGATGAGTAGAATTGCCATGAATGTCATGATTTTCTACTTATTGACAAAACTCACTAGTGCTTACGTCTGATTCATCTCTGAGACCAATAGCAATTTTGCAAATACCCAAAGATCCACTTTGAAAATGGCAGTGGTTCAAAATACAAATCAGTCTTCCTAAGAAGTGAGGACAATTAGCCAGTGGAACAGCTTGCCTCCAGAAATCATGGGCACTCCATCACTGGAGGATTTTAAGAAGAGACTGGACAGTCACTTGTCTGAGATGGTATAGGTTCTCCTGCTTGAGCTGGACTAGAAGACCTCCAAGGTCCCTTCCAGATTCTATTCTATTCTATTTTATTTCTATCTTCTATTCTATTCTATTCTATTCTATTCTATTCTATTCTATTCTATTCTATTCTATTCTATTCTATTCTATTCTATTCTATTCTATTCTCATTAAAGACCACAGGGAATGCAATGATGTGCCCATGAATTCAGATTTCCATTGAACTGAAATTCTTGCTTGTACTGGTGGTCTTTGACTTACAACAGTTCATTTAGTGACCATTGGAAATTACAATGGCAGTGAAAAAAGTGACTTAGATTGCTGTTCACACTTGCAACCATTGCAGCATCCCCGTGGTCATGTGATCAGAATCCAGACCCTCAGCAACTAGCATGTATTTTTGAGAGTTGCAATGTTCCAGGGTCATGTGATCCCCTTTTGTGAGCTTCTGACCAGCAAAGTCAATGTGGAAGCCAGATTCACTAAACAACTGTGCTACTAGCTTAACAACTGCAGTGATTCACTTAACAGCTGTGGCAAGAAAGATCATAAAATGGGGCAAACCTCACTTAACAACTGTCTCACTTAGCAACAGAAATGTTGGGTTCCGTTGTGGTCCTAACTCGAGGACTACCTCTACATTAAGTTGAGAACATGAGAGTTGGAGAACAGCCTTGCTGGATGAAGATGATCTGGTCAACTTTCCATTTCCCATGTTAATCTACTAGGAGCATCTACACTAGGAAGCCCAGAGATCAAGACAGATCTCTTCTACTCTTATTCCCGAGCACCTAGTAGTTACAGGAATACTAATCCCAGGCTTATATAGCTGAATAAAAGCATGCTGCTAAGCTGCAAGTAATAGATGTGTAACCTAGAGACAAATCATTCAGACACTTTTGGGTGTGGGTGTGGATGTGTTTGCACACCCAGACATAACACTCCCGGAAGATTGTCCATTTATGTTTGCAGATAAGCATCTGGTGATTCTAGGGTAACATGGAAAGACGCAGGAACATTCCACAACCCTCCCAGTCATCCATAATTAAAAGTGTCGTTTTTATTTTTTATTTTATTTATTTTTTGCAAAGCCTGAACAATTACTCACCCCACTGTCGGAGATCTCGCAACATCCCTCGTGCATTGCCATGGCTGGGTCACAGTAAATGTGCAGCTGCTGAATGTCAAACTAGGAAATATAAACAAGCGTGCTTTTAGGTCAACATTAAAATCCCGGAAAGAAAGCTTGCATCCTTCATCTCCTGGAGAAGAATCCTAAAACCAAACTTTCAACACTGAGTATGTGAGAAACGTTTCTCAGCACCTCACACCGTTTTGGGGTAGAGTTGCTGGGAGCAAAGTCTTAACCCTGAATCCTAGGTTTTGTGGGCTGCAGACACGGCATCAGGCCAATGGCTTCCATCTCAGGACTAGCAGCTAATCTCAGATGTCTTGAAATATTGGCTCAAGGAGGCTTGCAGGACATCTACTTTGAATCAGAGGAGCACCGATAGTGATTGAAAGTATGTTCATTTCCCCCCCCTGGTTTCCTTTTTTTGATTTTCTGGGGAGGGAGTGTGGCCTTGATCCAAAGTGAAAGAAAAAAAAACACAGGCCAATTTCTCCGGTTGTTTCTTATCTCTAGTTCCATCCTTTCAGTGCTTGAGTCACATCTCTTTGGAAGCCACCTAGATATCAGGCGTGGTCTCATACAGATCAGCAGCCCATGAGTCATGAGCCTCCCCACCATGACTTTACTCATACTATAAGCTGCACAAGTTCTGGCAAGAGGATTTCTGGACCAGATTGCCAAATGAGAGCATCATATGCACCATCACTTTCTTCTCTTCCATCCATCACCACAAGCCAGGACTCCATGCTGCTTTCAGACAGGCTCTTGGGCTCTCCCGGATCTGCCCAAAATCGAAACTAAGTCTTTCCCCAACGTGATCCTATTGAATCTCTTTAGCAAGATTTACTGGGATGAAAGGGTTGGGACTGAAGGAATTCCAGCAACTGAGCTATTTCCCATCTACAACCAACACATCTCCAGAGTAGAGAGTTCTTCATTTTCTTTCTGTTTTTTCTCGGAACCAGGCAAGTGGTAGACCTTTTCATTGTTAACGTGGGAGGGTGCATCTGGTTGTTTAAACCACTTTCATAATAGATCTCAGAACTTAACCATTACACTGGATCTCTTGTCCCTACCTCCCTCACCTTTGACACACGCTTTTCCACAGGCCTGTAGTTCCACTGCTTCCCTACGCAGCGTTTGTACTACAGTTCTTCAGCCACCACTTGCAGTAGGCTTCTTCTACGGGATGCCTGGTAAATTCTGTAGACGATCCTGCATTTGCACCCTCAACAGGTAGCAGTGACATCAGGTAGATTACCATGAAACTGTCCATCATACGTAAGAGTATACTAGCCAGGATTTGTGACCTCTTGCCAAGTTGACCACCATAAAAGTTAATTGTAGAACCTATGGGTGAGCCAGCCCCAGATTTGGATCAGCTCTCCTAACAGAAGCCACAGGATGGGAAAAAAGGTTGCATATGGGTTTGTTGTTGGATATTTGGAATCTATTAAGATATCAAGAATTGTTGGGTTTTGGAGGCATGGCTCAAGGTATGATCATACAATTCTGGAAGGAGAAATCGTCTTTGTAAGAGTGGATTTTTGAAATATATCGTTCGCCAATGTTTAAATGAAGTTAGGGTTTTTTGGATGGAGAGACAAGGAAACTGACTTCTGAGTACTATCCTCAAATGTTTTGGCATTACCAATTTATCACATAATTACCCATTTTTTAAAAATTACATACAATCATAGAATTGTAGGGCTCGAAGGGGCCCTGAAAGTCTTTTAGTCCAACTTCCAGCCCAAGGCAGGAGTTTTAATTAATTATTAGATTAATTAATTATTCTTATAATTAATGTTGAGGCTATGCTGTTAATACTGTTGTAAGTACACTTTTATCTTCTGCTAATTAGTCTGATGCAAATTTTTATATAGAACTCACACTCGCCTACTTTGTAGCCTGGTGCTTTAACTATTAGACGAAACTATCTTGGTTTTGGTAACAAATTCTAAGTTAAGCTAAAATAGTGCTGGCAAGTTCATGTTTACCTATGATAAATGACAGGTACCTAATGTTGATGTGAGAGATGGTGGCCGTAGAGGGAGAGCAGGAGGGGATAGTTTTCTAGGAAGGATGCAGTACATTCCAGACAGGGGAAGGAGACAAGAGGTAGCACAGCCCAGAATTGGATAAGAAACAGAGGAAGAGATTAAAGACACCTACTCTCTAGACAGGGGTCCTCAACCTTGGCAACTTTAAGACTTGTGGACTTCAACTCCCAGAATTCCTCAGCCAGCTTTGCTGGCTGAGGAATTCTGGGAGTTGAAGTCCACAAGTCTTAAAGTTGCCAAGGTTGAGGACCCCTGCTCTAGAATCTCCCAGGGAATAGCCATTAGTAATAGTAATAAAAGTTCAGTCTAGCAAGATTCAGTCTGCCATACGTAAGCAAATAAACAACTGCACTCTGGCTGAGTTGTTCCCTGTCATTCTGTTAGGTGCAAAGAATCAGGATCATTTGTAAAATTGCAGCATGGAAGATTTATTCAGACTTGTACATAAGGATCTGATCAAATAACAGTCAGCACTGAATTGGTACTGGATAAGGGTCAATGGAAGTCAAGGCGAGGCTGGAGTTGGTCTCTTGTGGCAAGAACTCTAAACTGATGACGCACTCCATTCCACTCCACAGCTCTGCCTGCTCTTCTCCCACAAGTTCTTGGGGTTAACTTGAAGGTTGGTGCCCTGAGGAGCTGCCCTTGGTTCCTAGAGGCTCTCCCAAAATGGGTGTGGCCAAAGTGGACAAGCCCATTCAAAGTAAATGAACAATACAAAGAGCTAGGCACACACGCAGACACCCAATCAGACATTCGCCTTTATCCATACATTCTCACATGTAAATACTTTCAGGCTATTTCCACACTTAAGCACAACACACCCCTTTTCCAGGCTGACAACTAGCAAAGGGTGCTTTCTTTTCACAGCCACCCACTAAAAAAAGAAAATAAAAAGAGAGAGAAAACCCCACAATTAAAACTGCAGCGCTTAGAATGATGTGGAAATTAAACGTCTAGTTTTGTAACTTCCTGGTTGTGTGAATAAAACTACAGATACATAAAATAATGTATGTAGTTTTATAAATACCCACCGACAAATGAGCACATACTCAGCAAAGTGCAGGTGGAAGTAAAGGGGGCCTTGGGGCCACCCTTTTAATGCATTGTGCATATCCAGACCAACCGTGTTTTGTTAACTTGGGTTGAGTTTAGTATGCTGCATTAATCCAGGGCTGGGAAGGTCTTACAGAAAGAAAATGTGGTACAATAGTGCCAAGTCAGAGGCCTGGCCCAGAACAAGCTTTTTGAATTTGTCTGCTTGATTTATCTCAGAATGCACTCTCACCAAAATAGCTTAGTTTCTCGTTAATTATGCATTGGATGATCAGCTCAAATGCTTTCACAATTGCTTCCTGGAACCACACCGTTAGTGCGATTGGATTTGTTTTTGTTTTTGTTTTTTTTGTCTTTATAATTATGCAGATTCCCTTGCCTTACTCTTTCAATTTTTTCTGCAGCTTTGGATCCACTCCCCGCAATTATTTTACCCATTTTTACCCTCTTGTGCGTTTTAGCAATGCTTGAATTCCCCTGGAAGGAATTTCATCAGTATTATTTTAGCAGTTTTAGTTTTTCTTGAAATTCCTCTGGTATTTTGTTTTCCTTCAGGAAACAAAATAGATTCACCTAAATTTCTGCTGAAGCAAGATTCTATGACAACCTTAACAGATTTACAGAACAACATTGCTAGTGTGTACTTTGGGACGCTAACACTGCACAAAAACCTCCAGATTTCTCTACAATGTTCAGCAAAATGTGATGGCAATTCCTGATGAAATTTAGCTCTCATAGATGTCTAACTATTACCATTCAAAGCACTTAAGATCCTGCTTCCATTCAGCTGTGTTTTGGACTTGTCCATGGTTTCTGCACATACTGTACATATGCAGTAATATGGTCTAGAGCAGTGGTTCTCAACCTTTTTAATGCCGCGACCCCAACCGGTCGTAAGTCAAGGACTAAACCGGTCGTAAGTCGAGGACTACCCAACCGGTCATAAGTCGAGGACTTTCCCTGCCTGGGAGCGCCGCACATGCGTGGTTCCGCCCCCTGCACTGGCCGAGATGTAGCTGGCAAGCGGCAGAGACGGAGCAGGCCGACCACCAGCTGGCCCAGCCCAAGGGAGGTAAGGCACCCGCCGGAAAAGGGGAAAAAAAATGGACAAAAAAAATGGCGGACAGTCTTGCTTGGCGACCCCCGTGAAATGGTCGATCGACCCCAAATGGGGTCCCGACCCACAGGTTGAGAACCACTGGTCTAGAGCCACCCAAGTCCAGATGGGACATTGCACAGAAGTTTATGGATATTAACAAGATTAGGGTCCCATGGGATTTCTAGAACAAATGGACAGGTAGATACTGGGCAATCAAGCAGATATTGTGGTGGTAGAAAAGAATCAGAAGACAGAGGTGGAGATAGATGTATCAGTGCCAAATGACAGCAACATTAGGAAGAAGGTATATGAGAAACTGGAGACGTACCGGGGCCTGAATGATGAGCTGGAGAAGATGTGGAAGGTGGAGGCCAAAGAGGTCTCAATGTTAGTAGGAGTACTCGGGACTGTGACTTCTAAGCTGGGAGAGTAGCTCCAATAGATCCCAGAAAGAACATCAGAGCTCTCTTCTCCGGAAGAGTGTAGTGCTAGGAACAGCTAAGATTCTGCAGAGAGCCCTCAAACTACCATGCCTCTGGTAGATGATCCAAGATTGAGGCAGACACAGGCCACCCATAAGAATGAGAAGGGAAACGTAGATACAGTATATTAAGTGATGATATTAAATACCATCAAATTATGAATTAGGAAATCAATTATTAATAGTAACATAAAATAAAAGAACCAGTCAATCAATTCTGGATTCAATAAAGCTGATGGTGCCTGGAAAGTGATGATCAACAAGCAGAAACTTAAATATTTGAGCATGTGATGCAAGAAGACAACCAACTAGGAAAAGAAAATATCTTGACAAGAGTGAAGGAAATAATGAAGATGTAGGATTAGGTGATGGATAGAATCAAGAAGATTACAAGAATGTCCAAATCTGTTGGTTGTCACTGGAGACAGGTTGAGATGTTGGGCGTTCACAATCACCAGCAATCAAGCCCAGCTCAATGGCACATACAGTAGTTAGCATGATAGTAAAGTAAAAATTAATTTGTTATGACAAAAGGATACCTCCTTTTGAAGTCTGGCCAACCTTTGGACTAGATGGATTAATAATATTGGAATGCTGGGCATCTTCCTTCAGCTGGCCAACTTTCAGATGTTCTGGGACTATTAAAGTCCAGCATTCCCAATCAACATGGCCCCTGTCCATACTAACTGGGAATTCTGAAAGTTGCAATCTTAGAGCAAAGGTATTATGTGGATAAATATCTCACACATGCCTTATTCATCTCATGTGGTGGGTCTCAATGTAGGTTTGATACTTAAGAACACTGTAAAAGTGCACAGTCATTCTATGGGTTATTCTGTCTTCATTGGCTATTATTGCTGTGTTGTTTGTTTAAGAGCCACACTGAACACATCGTATCCAGATTCTTCCCCCCAAAAAAGGAAACTTTGGAACTAAGAGGAGGAAAAAAATCATTTCAGTTTTGGCTACCACTGTGATATTCTTCCATTCTCTTTGTAGGTGAGGACAAAGTCCAGAAATCAGGTATTATGGTAGGAACCCACCTCCTTAAAGTTAAGAGGTCCTGATTATACTTTGCAATATTTGCCCAGTGCATCTGAGGAAGGAGGACAGAAGAACAAGAAGCTAAAGCGTGTTAGTGTATCACAGCACACACCACCAAACTGAAATCAGCAGGACTGATGCCTCCCAGCTCTGTCTCTCACACAAAGAGAGCTGACTCTGTTACCACTGCAGTAGGTGAGGGCTTCACACTGGCTCACATTCTCTAACATTCCTTTGGAAATTGATCTTGCACCAAGAAAAATTGCCACCACAATTCATGCATCATAAAAAGAAAAGAAAAGAAAAGAAAAACTGGAGCTAATATGGACCTGCTTCCTCAGGTTTGACAAATGTCCAGAGCAGGGGTAGACAACCTCGGCTCTTTTATGACTCATGGACTTCAGCATAGCTGACTCAGGAATTCTGGGAGTTGAAGTCCATGAGTCATAAAAGAGCCGAGGTTGCCTACCCCTGATCCAGAGCAACCCAGAGCTTGAAGAAAAATGATTGCCGGCAGATGCTATCTCTCCTGAAACTTTCTAAGGAGATACAGCAAGACACAAAAACGTTTTTGAAGAGTTTTCCTCGCTTCCAAAAGGAAGCGGGAATCATCCAAGGAAATGGGAATGCTTGGCCAATGTGTTGGGTCTTCCAGGTATTCTTGAAGACTGTTTCAGAGGGGATACAGGCGGTGCTCAACTTACAACCACAATTGGGACCAGAATTTCCAGCAAGGAAGTTGTTAAATGAGTCGGGCCCAATTTTTATGATCTTTTTTTGCCACGATTGCTCCCTGCAGCTATGAAGTGAACCGTGCACTTGTTAAGCAAAGGTCAACAAGGTTGCAAAGGGTCCAAGATGCTGAAACTATGGTAATTGCTTGCCAAGTACCAGGATTTTTGATCATGTGACTGTGGAGAGGCTACGACAGTTGTAAGAGCGAGGCCCCATCCAAAGTCACTTTTTTTTTCAGTGCCGTTGTAACTCTGAACGGCTGCTAAACACATGGCTGTGAGTTGAGGACTACCTATATAAGCAATGTATCAACAACTGTAGAGTTTGTGTCTTTGTAAAGCTAACATTGGTCTGCCAAGAGATAAGACAAAAACGCCCCCAGCTTCTTTCAATCCTTTGTGTCTGTTATCTGTAGTTGTAAACTCATTATTCAATTAATCTGTCACTTTATACGGCTTGAGTACTCAAATATCCAGGCTCTTAGTTCTTGCTGGCTAGGAGCCTAATGATTACGGTATTTCTGTTAGCAAATAAAGAAAACCAATTTGAATCTCTCCAATTGTTTTGGCTCCATTTCTTTAATTTAAACATTAGCGCCAGAGAAGCTACACTGAGGCCTGTGGTTGCAAGTTGCCCTTTTTTTTTTTTCTCGGAGGGTAAGCAAAATAGCTTGCCCCGTGGTCAGCTCAACTTGGAAAACTGGGCTCAGCTCAATTTGGAGATGTACCTCCTAGCCACAGGATGCTCACGTGTGCCCACGGCCACTGCTGCCCCCGTGACTTACCATCACCGGGGTCCCACGCACTGCCTCCAGCCCCACGAATGCGTTGCCTTCGCTGACCAACCGCTGGCGCAGCTGCAGAGGCTTAGATGAGATGTAACTGCAGTCAACGTGGACGGAGATCACCTGGGTTTGAATGCTGACTGCCATTTTGTGCCACTTCAAGTCAAAAAGGGAGGTGATGCCTTTGCCAGCAAAGACCACGCCAATCGATTCCCCGTGACGGTCCTTGGCCTGGAACTCCAGACTTCGCTCTTTGCTGTTGATTCCCAGGGAGAGCTGAAAAAGAAGAAGGAAGAAGAGAAGGTGCTGAATAGAAGGATGTTCTTAAAAAGAGAGAGAGAAGCAGGAGGGGGAGCAGGGAAGCTGGAAAATGAAGGCTGACTTCTTAGTGGAGAGAGAGGTGATCAGTCAGAAGGCTTTGCAGGTAGTCCTCAACTTATGACCACAGTTGGGACCAGAATTTCCATCACTAAGCAAGGTGGCTGTTAAATGAGCCCTGCCTAATTTTATGATTTTTTCCCCGTGATTGTTAAATGGATCGCTGCAGCTGTTAAGTGAATCATACAGTTGTTAAACGAACCCCTCTTCCCTCATTGATTTTGCTTACTGGAAGCCAGCTGGGAAGGTTGTGGATGGTCATCCCATGAGCCCAGAAGGCTGAAGCCCATGGTAATTATATGTCAAGCATTTTTATCACATGATTGCATTGTTGTGGGGATGCTATCATGGTTGTAAGTGCCAGGAACCATCCTTGCTGCAATCATTGTAAAGACATAGTGGTTGCCAAGAGCCTGAATCCTGACCCTGTGACAATGAGGATGCTGTAAAAAGTCCTGGGAAGGCTGGGCATAAGTTACTTTTTTCAAGGCCTTTGTAAGCCTCCAGAAGCGGTGAATGCACCAACACTGGAAGTTTTTAAGAAGAAACTGGACAGCCATTTGTCCAAAATGGTATAGGGTTTCCTGCCTGAGCAGGGGGTTGGACTAGATGACCTCCAAGGTCCCTTCCAACTTTATCATTACATAATAATAATAATAATAATAATAATAATAATAATAATAATAATAATAATAATAATAATAATAATAATAATAATAATATATTATTATTCCTTGTGTCCGATGAGGAGAGCACATCTTTCTCCTTCTGTCCTGGCCACTTTTTACAGAGGCACAACTGAGGGCATTTTAACAAACTGTATCCTTCTTTGGTTTGGTGGTAGCAGAGCCTCAGATAGAAAGTCCATACAGAGAGTGGTAAGGACAGCTGAGAAGATTATAGGAAGCCTGCTTCCTGTTATTCAGGATACTGTTTATAAGCACTTATATGTGCTTAGAGCTTGGCGCATTGTTAGAGGCCCCACACACCCATTTCACGGTCTGTTCCTGTTGCTCCCCTCTGGGAGGAGGTTTCGAAGTATTTATAGCAGAACTACTAGACTCTGTAACAGCCTAATTCCTTATGCCATGCAATCTTGTAAATTTGCAGGATTCTTTATTTTTCGCCATGTATATGTATACATTCAAATTAGGCTGTGATGTTTCTCTGTGTCATATTTGTGTGTCTATGTGGGTATATGCATAATGGTATTGGCACCTTCCGCAAACCCACGCCCATGACTACGGCAATCATTTTACGACCACTGCATTTGTTTAATGACCGCTGCAAAAAAGTAATACAATTGTGTCACGTGACCTTCTTGTTTTACAACAGCTGTGACTTATAACTGTAATTGGCAGGCTCCATTGTGCTTGTAACTCTAGGACTACCTGTAGTGATATTTTGCTGTTAAAGAAATGGATCTTAAATTATAATAAAAATGAGATCTTCAGTAATAATAAATATCCTTAGAAACACAGGGAGAGTTTTGTTCCGATGACAATATTATCCGGACGAAATTTGGAACACTTTTCTTGCAAATTAAGTTGGTTTAATCTGTCTAAATGTTATAAATCTAGTCATAAATATGTGGTAATAACAGGTAAGGGTAGATGACTGTTCTACATTTCTGCATCATTTTTAAACTTTGTAAAAATGAATATGATTTACATGAATTTCCTTTAATATATGCATGCTTACAGGCTCTTTTCCTTTATATAATGCTTTCATTTACTCATTTCCCTTAATATAATGCATGTTATTGCATATCTTAGTGTTCGGCCTGCCTTGCAACATTCTGAAAAGGTTACTTGGTACCCGACACATTTGAAGGTTACTTGATGCTTAACTGACTTGGAAGACAGCAAGCTGGGCTAGGTTCTCCACCCCATGCAGAGAATATTCCTTCTGCATCATATAATTGGAGAATTCTCCATCTTGTGGAGGTCAAGACAGTACATTGCTCCATGTCTCAATTTGAGGAAGCAGGCTGGGGTTCAGCATCTTGTGGGAACTCAGCCAATGCTTTAGTGTGTAATGTGAATGGGGTCACCACACTCAGTGACCACCTTTCTTTCTGGATCCACCGCATGTGGAATGAACTCAGCAACCATACCTTATTAACTCGAGTTTAGAGTTGACTATATTTTCATACATGCAAACACAATCCCATTGACACCCTTAGCTGAAAAGGCAAGGTACGAAGCAGATCAATCCTTGGGCGAGCTAATTCTGGGAAGGAAGGAAGGAAGGAAGGAAGGAAGGAAGGAAGGAAGGAAGGGGAAATAACAGGAAAACAATAGATCAGAGAGGCGATGGATAGACTGGATCAAGTTAGTTGGCTATACCTGGGGGTATCCCTGAGGGTCAGTGATCTGGAAGAGGTACCAGTTCTCTTTGGTAGTCTGCTTCTTCAAGAGTAGAGTGATGATCAAAGTGAATTCATCAGGCAAGCCCCGGGGGAACAGCTGTCTGGGAATAAAGAAGAGGACAGAGATGTGAGTAGACAGGTCTTTCCTCTTTGGAACATATCATCTGTAGAGTCGCTCAGAGGATACACCCAAATTGCTGGTCAAGTCCAATCACTAACTGTTAGATTAGCCTTTGATATCTCCAGAGGTCTTTCTACAGTCTCAGAAAAGATCTCTTTCCTCATAGCCTAACATGCTTCAACAAGAGAATCAAGAGAGAAGAGTCCTCTAGATGGATTTGTGCAAATTTTAAAATTTGATTTATTTATGTTCCACCCTTATTATTTTTTAGAAATAAGTCAATGTGGCAAACACACTTAATATTCCTTCCTCCTCCATTTTTTCCCCACGACAACAAACCTGTGAAGTGGATTGGGCTGAGAGAAAGTGACTGACCCAAAGTAACCAACCTGGCTTTTATGCCTAAGGTGGATCTAAAACTCACTTTCGGCCAATCACCAGGAGACGGTGAGTTCTAGTCTTGCCTTACACATGAAAGTCAGCTGGATGACTTTCAGCCATCACCAGGAGATGGTGAGTTGTAGTCCCACCTTAGGTGACTTAGGGCCAGTCACATGGCTTGCCTTCTAAGTTACGTGGGCTCCATTACTGGTGGTATTTAAGAAGAGATTGGACAGTTATTTGTCAGAAATAATATAGGGGGTCCTGCTATTGCGTGTGTGTGTGTGTGTGTGTGGAGAGATTTGGACTAGAAGACCTCCAAGGTCCCTTCCAAATCTGTTATTCTGTTAAATATAAAAAGACTCTGTAAGAGTTACTATATGGCTAACTAAATCTATCATAATTCAAAACCCTCTCAACTAAGCAAGTCAAATACTCATTAAGGCTGGTTTGAGGCACAGGTCATCCTCTGGTGGATTTTAATCACTGCTGCATAACACCTGGCCTGATTGTATGTTGTAGCAGGATTAGTGTCTGCAAGCAGCAGGGAGGTATGAAATTGTCCTGTGCACCCGGGGTATTTATATAGTTCTGGTGAAATGAGGCTACTATGAATATCTCTGTAGTATAGGCCCTAGAGAAGTAAGCATTATATTGTTCCTGTGTGTCCAGAGTCACGGGGACATTGTCTCTCCAGTTAGGGAATTTTCCTGCCTTCAAAACAGCAGAGAGGAAGCATGAGAAGAAATAAAACCCAAGATCATGTGACAAAATGCACAC